AGGACTTTTTTTTTGAGTGAAGAAGCTTTTGATCTCTGCTCCAATTGGCAATAAAGTCGCGTTAAAAATGTTTTATTGAGATATGATTCACCCACGTAAAGTGTATAAGTCAGTGATTTTTAGTATATCCATAGAGTTGTGCAACTATCACCACGATCAATTCTAGAAAACTTTTGTCCCCCAGAAAGAAACTCCATTCTCCATTTCCCTTCCACCTACTTCACCCCCCACCAGTCCTAGGCAACCACCTGTCTACTTCCTGTATGGATTTATATACTCTGGATATTTCATATAAATAGGAGCGTTTTTTAGGTCTTGACTTGAAAGAGCCAGTATGATGCAGTGGTCAGGAGTACCAGCTCCAGGGTCAAACTTCTTGGATTTAAATTCTTGCTCTGCCATTTAGGAGATTTATTTTATTGGGTGTTTACATGACCTTTTTATGCCTTGGTTTCCTCTTCATAAACAGGAATGATAATGGGATGTACCTGAGAAGCATGAAGACCAAATGAGTTAATATATCTAAAGCATTTAGAACAGTGCCTGGAACAGGATAAGCACTCATTAAATAGTAGTGTTCAACTCATATATTGAAAGGGAAAAATCACTTCCAAAATAGTGACAAAATATAATGACAATAATTTTGACCTGGGATTGTGTTTGATTTCTGTTGTAAGAACTTAGTTATTTGGAAAAGGATGGTGGGGAAAGGTCACAGCAATTTTCTTGGTTTAAAGAGTGTTGGTTTATTAGTTCTGTTTTCTAGGCTAGTAACCATGGTCTTGATTAGTTAAACTGGAACTTACCTTAAAGCTGTGGGGTTTTACTGAGCAAATCTGCTGCTTTCTTAATACTTGCTATTTTATCAAAGGAAAGGGTTTATGTTGCCCTTGATCAAGAACCCATATTAAGGTTTATTTTCCTTGGAGAGCTGTCACTTGATCTTAAAACTTGTGTAAGTTAATCCCTATACCTTGGTTTATATAAGGAAAAAATGATTTACATTAAAATGTTTTCTCATTTTTAATGTTAATAATCAGAAAGGTGTGGTGCAAATAGCATAACTTTTAGGTCTTTTTGGAGTTTTGTAGAGCTTAGTGAATATGTTGGGTAAAGGATGCTTGGAATTCAGTACAATTATAGGTCAGTTGTGGGGTTTTATTTTAGAATAATTGAACATAGCCACTAGAAGTGACTTTAGAGAGTATCTTATGATACCATTTTTGTTGACAAGGAAATTGAGAATCTTAGGTTAAGTGACTTCTAGAACACTAATTATTGACAGACCTGGGACTAGATTCCATTGATCGTGGTGCCTTTGTCCTCAGGTCCCAACTTTTCCCCCACGATCACATTCATGTAACCGTTTTTCACATGTAATTGTTATGTTGCTTGTGTAGAGCTGCAGTCTCTTGTTACACTGACAAACTGAATGGCTCATACTAACAGTAGAAATTTATTTTTGATGAGGTTGTAGGGTGTCAGGATTTCCTTGCTCTTTCTAGGTATCATTTTCTGCATAGCAAATGCAAAAAATCTGATCGTCAATCTGTAATGTCTCCTTTCTCATCATAATGATGAGGTCAGAATGGAGAACACAGGTCTAGCAAGATAAGGAGTTGATATTTCTTCCTTTCTTCCTTTCTTTCTCAGGCTTCATGCCTGGCGTGGAGCCCCACACGGGCTTGAACTCATGACCCTGAAATCAAGACCTGAGCTGAGATCAAGAGTCAGACGCTTAACTGACTGAGCCACCCAAGGTGCCCCAAGAGTTGATATTTCTTTAGTAACCTTTAGTGTGTGAAGGGACAGACCTCTGAAACATAAAACAGGAACCATTTACCTCAGTTGACAAGGATAACATGGCTAAAGCTTTTTGACTTGGTGAACTGTCTTCCTGACCAATACTGTATAGCTTGTGGGTGCAGCTGATTACTGGAAAGTTCTCACAGCATGCCCATGATTTGAGAATAGAGCTGGATGGGTAGGGAGTTAAGGCTATGGGAGCTTCATTACTTCCCTTTCACAAAATTCAGCATTCTTTGCATTTTCCAGATGCTACGTATCTGTTTC